GGCCACTGGGCAGGAGAAAGAGGAGGCTGTTTTCTCTTGGATGCAGGAAGTCAAAACGTCTTCTTGGCTGAGCAGCTCTAGAACAACAGCCCGGCCTGCCATTCTCTCAGTCTACCTTTACTGTCGCAAAGCACCACAAGTGGGTGCCTTCCCAAACTCCCTGCCATCGAGTCCGTTCTAACTTATTGTGACCCTACAGGACCGCTGTGGGTTTCCAAGACTCACTCTTTGGGGAGGTAGAAAGCCTTGTCTTTCTCCCCGAGAGCACTGATGGAGGGGCAACAGCCCTGCTCTATCTCCCTGGTAATCTCAAAAGGCAGAGAGGAGCAGGTTGCCTATGGGAAAGACAGATAAAGCTGGAACACACACAAATAAGGAAATTTACTAAGGCAATCCCCTTCAAGACATGTAAATCAAGGAAAGCTACTCCTTTGTGGGGCCTTGGTGGCATGATGGTTATGTGTTGGGTTGCACTTCACAAGGTCAGCAGTTCAAAACTACCAGCTGCTCCCTGGGAGGAAAGGTGGGGCTTTCTACTCCCATAGGCTCACTATGAGTAGGCATCAAGCAGGTGATGGCAGTGAGTTTGGTTTGTTTGTTTGATCTCCTTTGTCCTTTAACAAAGATCTTTGAAGTTACTGTTTGTTTAGCTTATCCCTTGAAAGGATCTCACCACCTCCTGTATTGCTCTTGGAAATCTTCATGGCTTATCCCACCTCTCCTTTATGTTTATGTCCAAAAAACCAGTGCCCTCGCTCTTAGAGCGCTGAAAACGTCTCCCTGCTCCTCAAGCTCTCTGGCGGGCATCTCCCAGTCTTGCCCTGGGCAGTGTAGGGGCGGGTCTTTGGGCCACAGCCAGAACCTGCCCCATTTCTAAGTTCCCCTTCCTCATACTAAAGCCATGTGAAGGAACAAGCCTCGAGACTCTACAGGCCCCAAGCTCTAAGGCACAGGAATTTTCTCAAAATTAAGAACATGTCCCCCATCTTGGAGGACAGAAGCCCTCCCGAGTTGCTGCTGGAGGGGCTTAGGACGGGGGCTGGGGCTGGGCTTAGGGCTCGGCTGGGGCGACCAAGGCTGTCTCTCCAGGCTCTTCCCACCCAGTGTATCCGACCAAAAGTAACTGGTCGGCCTAGTTTTCTGAGCCATCCTCACCTGTTTTGTTTCTCTCCCCATTCAAGCGGTGCTCAAAAGTGCCCTGGTGGGGGGAGCAAAGGGTCAGCCTGGGACCCCAGAACACAGTTATCAATGGAGCAACACCCTCTGGGAAGATAGGCTCCAACCCCACTCGTGTTAGTACTTGTGAATATGATCTTGTTTGGAAGGGTCTTTGCAGGGTGGTCAGTGAGGCTAACATGAAGCCATGCTATGGTAAGGTGGAGACACCCTACATGTCATAAGAGGGCAGAAGGCCCTGACAGGAAATAG